TTGCTCCAAATAGTACCTGCTTTATATAAAATAGAGAAAAAACCCTGATGAGAGGTAGAACAGTACCTGCTTTGGATGTGGGAAACAAATGCAGACCTGCACTCTGAATGAATGTCCTACACACCATCAGTTGATCAGAAAAACTAAGAAACTACTGGCTTAGCTTTTTTTCATGAAACCCCATCATCTTATAAATAGTCCATCACTATCAGACTCCCTTCTTCCTCCTTTCTTTCCTCTCCTCATTAAAATGAGAAACTGATGACAAGGCTGAGAAAACAAACTGTCCTGAGCTATTCATGTCTATCTATTGTCACTTGTGAAAATACATTTTGTACTGATATGAGGACACACAAGTCTATGAAGTGAGTAAGTAAGTGCCTGACCCAGTAAGTCAAAGAGCTCATGCAAGAGGCTTCAGGGCAATATTCACCCTCTTCCTGTATCACGAAACTAGGAATAAAAGCAGCAGTTAAAGCTTTACAACTGAAAATACACTCATTTTTCCATTGCAGCTTAGGCTCAACTGCATCTCCCTTCCTCTACTGAGCCAGAGTGAGTTATTCATTAAGTATGGTGTCCTCTAGTCACCGCCTAAAATTTAAGTAGTTTATAGAACAGGGACAGGAGTTAAGGGTCAAACTGGTGTGAGCAAATGCTGGTGTTTGCTTTTGGGGATTGTTTGTTTGTTTGTTTATTTGAGGGTTCTTTAAGATTAAAAGTGAACTTTCCTTTTTCAGGTCCATGGAAAAGAGGTCTAACAAACAAATATTGAAAAACTGCTGTACTACTTTAATTAAACATAGTGTTCTAAAGCTAGGTGCACAAACTGACCCTTATTTAGTTAATTAGTCCTTGCTGTCCCTGAGACAGCATTGTTCTCTGTCCTTTCCCCAAGTACTCCTTGGTCATGATTTTGGGGAGAAAGGTCACTACCTTGCCCTTCCTAGTGACTGTCAACTGAGCATGAACCGTCAAAGTCACCTAGGGTTTGGCTATTAACTTCAGCAAGCATTTGATCTAGCCCTCAATTATCTGTCTCATCTCCTCTAAGAAGACTCCACTTGCAGACAATCAGACAGCAGTCGCCACTGCAAACACTTTTCAAATTTCAGTTTGATCTTAAACTGTGGGTCATGAAAACTGCAGAGAAGGGTGGAGAAATCTTAAAATAAGCAGTATCTGACACCTAGGATACGTGAGTCCTCGGGAAAGCACTGGTGTGTTCTCTTCTACATAGAAGCACACCTTTACTGTGCTTCCAATAATACTGTGAATTTAAGGCCCATGATAGGATAGTAGATCAACCAGATATCTCCCCATCTCTGTTTGATTCTGGAAGTTCAAAAGTCACAAAGCCAGTTAACACACAGACCAACCTATTCAGCTTTTTATCCATAAAATAGCAACAGCAGCTGTCCCTCCATCTTGCCTCCAAGGTCCTTTGCGCACTGCTGACTCTGAGATGTGCACACAGAACATGTGGCCACAACAGAATCAGGACTGTGGCAGAGACCTCTAATAAGCTGCTTTAGCATCAGCAGATTAAGTGCTCCACATGCCAGCCAACAGACACAGCTAAGGCTTTCTTTGTACAAACCCACTGGGCTCACTTCAAGCTCAAAGATACTGGGACTTCCACTCAACAGCACTTACACCTGTAGGGAGAGGCTGCACTGGAAATCGGATGGATTTCCACCTCTGGAAAAGGATGATTCAGCTATCAAACATGGTCAAGGTTGTACATAAGCTCTGAATCAAAGGCAGTAGACAACTTTATTCATGGTGTATCAGAAAGGCCCTGCCTGCTTTTGGGATGTAACAGTTCCCTGAGGCCCACCTCTTTGGTTCACCAAGACTTTCAGAAAGCTTACATCACAGCATCCTCTCTCCAAGAAAGCTTACTGTGTTTCAGAACAGTAATTGAGCTATTTTCTATTCTGGAAAAAAAAACCAAACCCAAAAATGAATCACCACTACCACCACACAACCCAAACCCAACCAAGCAAGCAAAAACCAAACCAAACCAAAAAAATTCCCACAAAATACCAAAACCAACCAACTCATCCCCAAAAACCCCACCAATGTATATGTAGTGGGAACTGGGGGGGAGGAGGGAAGTGTTAGAAATTTTGTAATAATTTGTAATAATGATTCCACAGTTTGCTTTCTAAAATTTGTTGTATTTAGTATTTTATTTTGGAGAAGATAAATATAAATCAGAACATATTCATACAGAATTTCAGAGCCAAACACTTTAATCTAAAATTTGCGAAGTGGCTTAACCAAGCTCAGACAAATCAACACCAGAGTTAGAAACGGAACTCTAGAGTTCCTAGCTCTTGTGCCTGAATTCAGATTGCCAGACTTGCCTTTCATCAGCAAAACACGAGTGCAAGAATTTGCATATAGGCTGGGTTTTGGAGCTATACTGGGTAGTAACTGCAGCAGATTATTAACACTGTACAAAAAACAATGCCACCTGAAGACAGCAGAGAGACTGCTAGGGATGAATCAATTTTCTTTGAGGCTTTAAAAAGGATCCTTCACATTTGTAGTATAAATCTACTAAGTCAGACTTCTCTCTGAAATTTACTCCAGACTCCTCCTCCACTAATCAGTTGTCCTACAGCGACACTGTAAAGCTTTTACAGCAACTGCAGCATTACCATCTCAGCAACATCTCCTACCACACTAACTCCATATGGAAAGAAGCAAGTTCCACTGCGCTAACATAGGCAAGGTCATTCTCCTCAATGACAAGTGCCTTACCTATCTGAATTCACTTCCTCTAAGGCTGAGAACAATTGCTCTGTTGAAGTTGGTATATTAAAATACTGTTATCCATTGAAGAATGAAAACATTCACTATCATTGACTGAACAGCATACTTCTTAAAAATATTTGTCTGTCTTAGTTTCCTTCTATGGTCACCTTGGATGTCACACAGTCACTCTACTCTAGCCCAGCACATACAGCTCTGTTACTGGCACTGAGGGAGGAAGAAGGTTTGCTTTCTGCTTGCCAGCAAATGAGACCTCTGTGACTGGGTTTGAGTTCTCTTACAGAAAGGCTTAGTGAGGAAAAAGTCCTTCCCAAGATGCTGTATCATTTCTTTTCCATCTTAGTGCCCCTGCACTAAGGCAAATCCAGACGTTATTTTTGATTTTGCTTACCTAAGTTTTCAGGCAACTACATTTCTTACAGAACACAGATCTAAAGCTACTCAAAGAATTAAAGTGCTAGCAGCAATTATAAAGCTTATCTGCCAAACAATCAGAATAAAACATTCACTGCTTTATTTATTTACTCATTAAAGAACATTGGTCCATGTCCTTTACAACTTCTGGAATGTTATAAAAGAAACGACAGACGAAGGGCCACATACTGTATACACTTATGCCAGGGGAAAAAAAACATTTTACACACACACCACCACCCACCAAAAAAATACAATCAATAAATGACTGTTAAAATGACCAGTCTGCAATGGGAACTCCAAAATGTGTAGCCAGAGTAGTACTAGACCAAGAACTTAGCTTATGATTCAGCTGTGGGATTCAAAGGACAAACACCTATAAGTGGAGACCTTAAAAAACTCCAATCTCAGTTTTTGTTTTGGAGAAGCAATTCAACTGCTTTGTTCCACCCACCTCAGTTATAGTAGCTGTAAACTCAATTTGAATAACAAAATCAATTTAAAACCACAGCAACATGGAGTTATACTTGCTTTGCATCAGCATAAAGGAGACAGATTGTGGACACATGCAAGAAAGAATTCTGCTGAAGTACTAAAATGCTTTTATTTTTACCTTGTAGGCTATGCCTTTTTTTTCTGCTGCCACTGAAAAGCCATGACAGAGGGAGTTAGGCATGTGGTGACAAATACTTGTTTGCTTGTTTGAATCTAATCCCTTTGGGCAGAAACTAGAAGTTATCATCTATCTTCTAGCGGCAGCTTGGAAGTGGTTTAAAAAGCTGCAACTTTGTTGATACTGGCTGCCATTCTCAGTGTTGGATTTCAGTAATCTATTCCTTAAACCAGATGCAATTTCTTGGGAAACAGCACTTTAACCCACAGACTGGATTTTATTTCATGAAGGAAGATGGCAATGCAGTTAGCTCTTCCTCTCCCCTCAAAGAAAACACCATTTTGGCAGTGTAAAAATATCCAAGCTGGGAAAATTCTTGCTGCTCCATCATTCTGCTATCATCAGTCTGACAACAAAGCACTTACAAATACATGTAGACAGCAAAACAGAAGCTATGCATGTGCTGGAAAAACATCTGCATTGATGCAGAGATCCATCCAAGATATATTTACACACCACATCAACACCCTTGTACAGACCCTAGTCTTGAGGCATGGAATTAAGCAAGTGAGCTCATTCTGGTTTTCATACTGAGTATTTCTGTCTTTATAAACTCCCTTAATTTAACATTTTCCCATTTTATTGGACTTTAAAGAAAACATACCAAACCAAAATGAGATAATAATTAGTAAGTTAATATAAACCACAGGAAATATCAATTGATGTGCATAATTATGACTGTCTACAAATAAACCTGGACCCTATCTGGAGAATTTGAATCCCTGGTGTCTGTAACATTCCAAGCCCCACACAAGCTCATTGCAGAGACAATCCAGATCATGGTGGTCATCCAGTAAATGGATGCCTTTCTTGCAGAAGCCTTCTTAGGTGCTGGTATCCAGTCTCAATGACACATTTGGCCAAAGAGAAGACTCTTGACTTTCATTTCATTAAATACTTCCCTGTATTTTATTCACTCCAGGAAATGGCACGACTGATTTTTTTACATTATCAGCATTAATTGAGTTAAATGCCCTTAATAAACTCTTCGCTTTTGTTTCTAGGCTGGTCTCCAGTACAGCTACTCCACATATAAAACACTTCCACAGCTTAAAACAGTGTCAAGTATAGCTTTTTACTTTAAAACTTTCAATGACCTAAAAGCACATGTTTGTCTAGCAAGTCTTACCTCCAAAAGTCCATCTTCAGGCAGGTCTGTGCAGTGGACAGCATTCTGAACCTTGCTCTTCCCAAAGACAGCACGCAGAGTTCCAGGTCGGAGATGACGAGCTATTTCCTATTGAACACAAGAAAACCAGAAGACCGTTTTGAACCACACTGTTCCTTTATGAATGGAATGCAATGGAATCTTATAAAGTAAAACATTATTGTGCTATTAAAATACGTGTAGTACACTATAAAAGAAAATGAAGGGAGAAATTCCAGCTTGCATTACACACATACACAACTATTGAAAAACCATGACCAAGACTGTGAAAACTAACTGCTTGAAACTGACTAATCAAGCCACCTCAGTTGACATGCAGGACCCTTCCTATTACAGATACACCTTCCTGGTACTTCCGTTAATACAATTAGCTCATGCTAACACCTCTGCAGCTCTGAAGAACAAAATGTCTGCCCTTAGGGAGCAGACACAAGTGTACCACCTTGCAGACTGTCTCCCCAGCACTGAACTATTTGCTCCAGAACCTGACATTTGTGAAGCCCAGCTACTGAATAGCCACTTGGTCTTCTCCTCTGCAGTGATTTTCTGAGACCATGACTAGTGCCAACATCTGATCACTCCCGAGGATCAGTCCAGACTCTCTCTACATCTTTCTCTGATCTTTGAAGTTGACATTTCAATACTCTCCTTCATCAACGCCAAATAAGTCCTTGGCCTCTTCGAGGATCAGTCCAGACTCTCTCTACATCTTTGAAGTTGACATTTCAATACTCTTCTTCATCAACACCGAATAAGTCCTTGGCCTTTCCGTGTTTCTCTCACTACAGCAGATACCACCCATAACATTCTTCCCCGACCTCTTTCTGATGGTATATTTCCTATTTTATACCGCAGAGGACTGCCTTCATTGGCTCTCCCATCCACCATGCTCTTTCTTTCAAGGCAAAAATGCAGTCTTGCTGTACTTCTCTGCACTATTACCATGCAGTGCTGTCTTTTAACCCCTTTCCTGTGTCAACTGTGCTACACCTTGTGGGCCTCTCTTCCCAGCACCCTGGAGTTCTTCTCCAGGCCTACCTCATGTGCAGTGTGCTTCCTTTTAAAATTCAGTGGTGATGGCATTAACCCAATTTTCCCTCCTCAAAACCATTTGGACATTCTTCCATGAGTGCCTCCTGAGCACTGCTGCCTGTGAGGGGACAAGCTCATGACAAGATCATGCTATGGCTACTGAACAAAAAAATCAAGCAGCATTCTTCCTTGCCAACGCAACCTACATCGGCCCCTTTCTGAAGAGACACTGGGTACATTAGGGTGTAATCACTTCGGAAGTGGCCAGTGCAGTTTCACTGTGCCACTCCCAGGTGTTTGTTTTGGTGGCACAGCTGGAGGTTACTGTCCCCACAGCTGAGTCACCAGAGTGGATCATCCAAGCATTTCTTAACTTTCAGTGTCAAATGGGTTCAAAGTGACTTCAGTATTGGCTCTTGGCTCAGCTGGAAAGCTTTGCACAGGTACAGGTGAGAACCACTTGCATGGTGCCCACTCTCTTCTGGGATGGCAGTGAATATTTTAAGCTAGTCCAAAAAGCATTATCTGACAACACCCTTTGCCCACTTTCCAGCTTCACCCACTTGCCATGTCTCATTACTAAACAAAGACAATTGGATTTTAAGGGCAAGATCATCTTTCAGCTCAGCAAGTCCTAGATATTTTCCTGTAACAACAATTAACAGTTATGGTGATTTGTTACCTAGTAACCTAGATCTGTCACCTGTGGTGATCTGCTACCCACTAGGAAGACAATTAACTACTTTAATGCTTGGAGTGTGTCTAAACCAAAACATGCTATGAGGAGAAGTTTCAGTTCCCCATTGTTACTGTGTGTATGTCACAGGTTATACAGGATCTTTGGATATGGATATCAAGGATATTTGAATAAGATACACTCAACATCAAACAGGATAGTTCAAGAGTTTCACTTTAAAAAATGAAAATCCCCAAGGAGAAAAAACCCTCCTCTACATGGTCCTCACAAAGGCTTGTGATAAGAAAGTCTGCTGGAGAAACACAAGTCACATGCCAGTTAACTATAGCTATGTGACACTTTAATCAAGCCTTCCTTGAAACAACTCTTGATTCCTGTAACAACTAGCTGTCAGGAAGCCGGCGACAGCACTAGGCTCCCAAGTACTTTAAGGAAAGTCTGGGCATATTAGAAAAAATTATTGTGGCTATGAAACCTTTGAGAACACGTTAGCAAGAAACAGCTCAGATCTAAAAAACTAAACCTTGGTATTTCATACTCTTTATTCCCATCCATCACACTCTTTTGCTCAAACTGTTCCATCCTCCAACAAGGCTAAAATTTCTGCTTCTTATGAAACTTTCCCAAAAGCATCTATGGCCTCCTGACCTATAATTTTTCCTAAGCTCTCATTTCTGCTTCACAACTTCTTAACAGAAGACCTCATGTTTTTTCTCTCAGACTCACTCACTCCCACTAACATTGGCAAAAGCTCCTACTGTTGCAGTTCCTTCAATTTTTCAACACATTCTCTTGCCCTCCTGAAACTCATCAGCCATCTTGCACAAAAAGGGACTCATTCTGTTCTGTCTGGGATTGCATTAGTTCAGAAGTACACAAAGGTAGGTCCTCAAGCACTTCACATTGTTAGCACCTGCTTAGTAAGAATCTAAATAAGCCTTTCTTGCCAACAGTTAGCCAACAGGACAAGACGTAAGCAGTCTCTGCTTATATTTACTTAGCCAAACAAAGGACAATAATTGCCAATTCCAAAGTTTTACTATTCCATTGCTTTCTTACTATGCTAATAAGGAACCCTCAGGCAACAAGGCCTCTGTAAATGATGGAGATACAAACAGTTGTATGGCTCATACACAGGTGTCCTTGTGTATGTATAGGGTCTCATCTGCAACAACAAGGAGACACAAAACCTCTTTCTCCTAAGCCTTCCACTAAGTTTAGTTTCTGGAGTATGTGCATTGTGTATCAGTGTTCAAAAACTTTTTGAAAGGAGTTGAGAGTGGGATGATGGAGGAGTTAAGAGCAGCTACAGCTCCACCATATGCATGAGAGGAGGGTAACGTGCACGCTGGAACTTCATGTGCATGTATAAATGGAGGTGCCACAAACTTGCACCTCACATAAAGAATACACTGTCTGCAGCAAAGCAAACCAGTGTTACTGTACCAAAAGGCCTCATCCACTTTGGTCTTATTCAGCAGGCTATTTGATCACACCCTACAGGCTGGGCTTTGATCTTCACCTAGCCCTTCGAAGATCCTTGCCCTACACAAGTTACAGATATGTTTCATGTTTCTACCACTCTCTATAACTGTGCCCAGCGCAACACTGCTTGAAGTACTTAGCACATTCTAAAATGTTTCTATTTCTATATGAGTGAAGGGAAACAAGTGTCCCCAATGCCAGTAATATGTCAAAAAGAGACTGAAATATCATAAACATACTCACAAGCAAAGCTCATTAACTGCTTTTCCATCAAACGGCTTTTTTTCATGGGCTGGATGGGAAGTTATACAGTAACACGTATTCCAGCCAATATTGCAGATTTAGAGAAAATTTCAAGAAAAAGTATCTGCCCTGAATATTTAACTAGGTATCTAAAAAGGCCAAAGGCCTGACTGCCTTTAAACATTTCTGCATGCTTTGTTGTTTAAATGGCATTCAAGGAAAAGCCAAAGAGGTGACCACTGACTGCAGAGAAACCATTCCCTCCCTCATCACTGGAAACAGCATGAACTGTGAATGCACCGAATGCACGCAAAGGAACTTTTACAGCCTAAAATTCTATTCTACTTGAACACGAACTAGAACAAGGGAACCTTGAAAATTCCTTACTGGTCCTCTTGAGTGAAGCAGAATAAAAACAAGAGAGTTTGTGATAAAACTGTCTGCTACCCATGGTGTGCTCCCAAGGCAGGTTCACTCTTTTACGTTTGCTTTCAGGCCAGCATAATTCGTGGGCTGCAACAAGCTCTGCGCAGCCCTCCCAAAGTTTTCTTTCTCTATCCATGCCCTAACTGTGTGTCCGCTCCTTGCTCATCTTAGTATTCTTCATTCACCACTTTCTGAAGCCTCTATGTTGACCTGGTCTCCCCACCTCTGCTTTCCACACCCTGCACTCATGAAGCTTTTTGTTCTGCAGTTCTCCATGCTCCACTGCTGTCATGAAAGAGATGATTCCTCTTTTCCCTTGAGGCTGCCAACTGATCCAGAAGGCAGTAGCCAGCCTCAGCTAAACAAGCAAGTGCCCTTCTCCTTAAAGACCAGCTACAGCCTTGTCAAGAGAATAGAACACACATTAACTGTGAACAAACAAAATAATGTAAATTGCACCGCTCACTGTGGAATTTGTCTATCTGAACTTTAGCCATCAGAAAGCTGACTGCCTTGACCAAGTCAAAGTGAGGCACCTGAGCTTCCTCTGTAGAAAGTGAAGGCTGATAAGCCCTTTAAGATAAAAAAAACCCAAACAACAAATCCAGACTCCTGCAGTACAACAGCTATGTAAGGTAGGTAGGATGAGTGCCTCTCTCTTCCCATCATCACAGCTCTTCAGTTGGCTTTTACTTTCAGGGGATTTTAGCACCACTCCTATCACACACTGCTGGTTGCAGCAGGGAGATGTACAAAATACTCATTCCTACACAAGGCATCAGCAAGAAGTAAAATGATAAAAGCAGCACATTCTCTGTCATGCAGAATACAATACTAGATAAACATCTCCTGTAATGCTAATTCAAGCTAAGAAACACCTTCACATTATTGTTACTGTGGGAACAACCTCAGTTGATCAGTCTGATATATACTTCACAGAATTTCCCATCCAAAGACAAAGGCTTAACAGTCAAAATGAAATCTGTGGTCACAGAAGATCTTGTGCATGACACCACAAGGGCTGACTTGCCTCACCTTGACTGACATGTTTTCTTTGCAGTTCATACTCCTTCCAAACTCTAGCCAACCAATTTTGATGTGTGTCCTTCACATCAAGCTCTCTTCACACCAAGCTCTGACTTGGTTATGTTCCCCAGTTTCATCCAGTGAGCCACCTTGCATCAGC